GGGAATAGAAAATGAGAACATTCTTATGCTCTTAAGTTCTTCTGTTTTAAGGAGTCTTTACTCACAACAGCACCCATATATCCTTAAAACTCTATTTGACTTGAGATTATTCACATTATTCTTTTGTCCAAGCCTAGATGATGCTAATTAATACTATTTAACCATACTTAGGACTTCACCCAGTAGTTAAACCAGTGGTGACAAACTCAGGAGCTTCTGTCATGTCCTCTCCACTTTCATCCTTTCAGTTCCCCCTCACTCCAGTAACCTCCCTGTGCTCCTCAACCAGCACTAGAGCAGATGAAGACTCTCCCTGGGTGAACTGCTGCCAGGTATAAAAGCGGAGGAAAACTGAAAGTCTTGTGTTGAACTTGTCTCAGAACTCCTCAGTCCCCTCTTTCCCTCTATCATTGCTGTGATCATCACCCCAACCAGGGATGTGGAACCTCCCCACACACACACTCTCCACTGACCTGCAACAAACAAAAACCTTCCAGCACCTCTAACTTTCAGATTATACCATGTTAGTTCTTTTGTTTCAAACAAACAGCCTTAAAATACTAATTTTATTGCTTGATGCTGGTGGTGCTTAGATGGGAGAAAGCAGGAAGGGGCAGAAAGCTACAGAGCAAGAAATTGTATCACTGATCTGGTTTAAAACATGGTCATTTCTAAGATTCAAAGTCATAACTTTAAGAGGGAGATGAAGTAAACTGCCTTTTATTACTTCAGAAATTTCTGCTGTTTCAATCATTCTCAGTAAGTCTCCATCAGCAGAGAGCCTAGAATGCACAAAAGTGTGGAAGACGACAGGTTTCTGGTTCATCAGTTCTTAACCAAACACCACCAAAGGATTACTTGATCTTAGTACAAATTAAGTCTCTGCAGGCTTCCTTCTCTGAGATGGAGAATTTAACACATAGACACATGAACACTGTAACCACTGCCTTGACCTGAAAAAATTAATTCAAAAAGACCACTGTTTGTAACAGACATAGTTTATCAAGGACTCCAAATGAGTTAGAAGGAAGAGGTGTCATTATAACTAAAAAAACCAAAAACAAAACAAAACAAAAAAAATCCACAGTGCCTAGTTAAAAAAACCACAACAAACAAAACCAAAACCCAACAAACAAAAACAAGCCAAACATATAAGCAAAAAGCCAAAAAGCACACACACTCTGCTAAGATCAATTAATCCAACTGGTTATCAGGAAAACAAGGTATTAGAAACACACTGAGCACAAATAAAAAAGCACAAACACCTTGCTTCTTTCCCTTTTACACCCAGACACAAGTTTCTGTAGTTTCACTTACAGAAAAAATAATGTAGGGAACAGGTGCGGTTTTATTCTTTTCCTGTGTGGCCTCCTCTGTGTGTGCTCATTTTCAGACATGTCTCTCTCTCTTCTTCATTACTTATGATTCAGTTCTACATGCCCTTGGCACAAGACACTGCTTTCCATGTACTCACTATCCCAGGCAAATAATTAATGCCCACCTGTACAGGAATGCCTTCCCCATTTAACAATACAAGGATTTTACAATATTTTGGTGCCAAAAATGTGTTCAATCCATAGGAATGAGTATCACCTTCCTATGCTACTTTCACTATAAATGCGTTGTCTAACGAAAAGTTTTCCCAGCCTCTAACAAACCATGTTAAGTGCACACTCTTCCTCAAAATCTGGCCTCAGGATCATTAAGCTTTCAAGGTCCATCCTCACTGAAACCTCACCCTTCTCACCCCATCACCTTCAGTCTTCTCAGTCATCCAAAGGTCCAAGGCAAAGCAAGTGAACAGATAAACAGTGCTAAAAATGCACAAATCTAGAAGGAAAAAACCCACCCTGAAACACACAAAACCAGGAGAAAACACGTGCAATATATCCTGCCCAAGAGGTGCTGGGATAAGGCTCTTCAACACCTGGATCTTTCCAAGGACAACAGTGAGTTGTACAAGCCTCAGAAAAAGGCCATTTTAAAAGGCAAAGCCTTGTCTGGTAACAAAAAGTGTTTCAAGACAAAACCACTCTGAGAAATTAACACTCTGGGGCAGCCCAGATATAGAAGACAAAAATTATTTCACATTACTCCACATAGGCAGAAGAAAACAAGGACAATTATCCCTTAGCAAGAAGTTCCCTCTTTAGTAATGTCCCAAACTGCTTCCAGGATTGCACTTCCAGCTTTATTTCTGTATGAGACCAGAGGAAGGGTTGACTGGCTCAAAACAACTAGGTGGGAAAGGTGTGTGAGGGGAACACGTTGAGCTCTGGACAAGTGGGATGGCCCAGGGCCTGCCCCAAAATGGCAGGGACTGACGCAGGGCCTGCCCCAAAACTGTGGGGACTGACCCAAAGGCTGTCTCAAAACGGCAGGGACTGACCCCAGGCCTTGAGAGCCCCAAAATGGCGGGGACTGACCCAGGGCCTCGAGAGCCCCAAAATGGCAGGGACTGACTCTTTGAGCCCCACAGGGTACATGGAAGCACAGCCTCGCCTGGGGGCACCACAGCTGAGTGGAGCAGCTAAAAGGATGGTGACATGGGTGCTCACTTTCCATCTCAGAAGGACTTTTTTTTGCAGTGATATAGAAGGTAAAAATTATTTCACATTAATTCACACAGGCAGAAGAAAACAAGGACAATTGTACCTTAGTAAGAAATTATAGGATGGCCCTACTTCGCAAGAACAAACCTCTCCTGCATTCCAGCAGCTACATGGATACTCTGAAGTTAAGAAATGTATCAATGTAAACAGTAGCTCTATTTTTCCTATTTCATATCTACTGAGAAGGGAGAGGGTAAATAGCATTTTTCACAGATGCCAAATATAAAAATACTAAGTACTAATTACTAAATACCAAAATATAGAATCATAGAATCGGATGGGTTGGAAAGGACTTCTGACATCATGAAGTCCAACCCTTGAACCACTACCACCACAAATATGTTGGTGTTTCTTAGGTTTAGAGTCCATATAGTCTAAGTCCTTCGATGGAATTATTATACAAGAACTACATGAGCAAGGAAAGCTTCAGCTGTACAGAAAGGTTACATTGCAGGAGGCTATTCAAGACACTGAAATTAAGAAATTAATTCTTACTATTATTATTTTAAACATTAGCCACAGGAAAACCTTGACCAGGTGTTGGTCAGTGACAGATTTACTGACATTTATGACAGATGTAATGACCAGGTTAAATGACAGATTTCATATGTGTTACTACATCACCCTGTCCCACTGGTATTCCTAGAGCACGGATGCTCCTATTCTGAACCCAGCGTGACTTTACAACAGGAAATTCACTTACTGAATTCTTCTTGTAAATGGATCCTGTCACTTGCAGAATGTGACAGAAACAAAGATCTCAGTTGCTATTCCAGATCAACCTATACACTAAAAGCCCAAGATCAGATGGAGCAGCACAACAGGATTCTCCACATCCCATACATATCACACAAAAACCTCTGGAAAATCATTATGGCAAGAACATCTCCATTTTGCACAACTCGAAAAAACAGTTACTAGCTGCACAGAACAGAAGCAGAATATGCACTGGAAGACAGCTGCTTGTGTCAAAACTGGCAGAATCAATTCTCGATATACAGAACAGAAAATGCTTATTTCAATGACTGCTCAGCTTCCTCATCTTTTCATGTTTGAAAACACAGAGCAAAGACAATACTTTCAGCACAGGTGCTTGGGTTCTGCTGAACAGAGCCAACTTTCAGTCAGGATTTAACACAAAACCAGTATAAATGAAAAGGCTGACAAGCAGGAACTCAGTGACACCCTCCCATCCACATCCAGGAAAGTGCTCGGAGCTGCTGTGCTACAACACCAGCACAAGAATCCCTGTGCAGACAGCACAATAAATTAAACCAGCACTGTGACTGATGTCAGCAGAATGGTCCTCACTGCACCAGACCGTGTCCTGCTTGCCACCACATCATTAATATATAAAGTAATGCTCTAGAAAACCACTGAGAGGCTCTTTAAGGTACCAGAAGCAAACAAACATGTAATACCAGCTTCCCCTCGGGGAGGGGGCAGGAAGATCACACTGCAAGGGCTCCTTCCGGGCGCACCGCTTAAATCCCTGGTGGATCACCGAGGGCAGGGCCGGGCCCGCTCGCCGCCCGCCATCCCGCTGACACAGAGCTCAGTTTTCCCGAGAAGAACCGCGGAACTCACCGGGGATCTGAGGGCATCCACCGCCAAGGGCGATCCTGAGGGGAGCCGAGCCCGCTGCCCCCTCAGGCGTTTCGCGCCCTTTTCGCCCGCCGAGTGCGGCGCGCGCTTTCCGCCACAGCGTGAGGGGATCGAGGAGAAGGAGGAGAAAGACGAAGAGGAGGAGGAACGAACGAGAAAAAAAACGCCCCGATGGGCGCCGCGTACCTGTCGGCACTGCGAGGGAAGCTGCTGGCGCTGCAGGCGGCCCGCGGCGCCGGGCCGGTGAGGGCTCGCCAACGCCTCAGCGGGGTCCAGCCCGGGCGCAGCAGCGCCGAGGAGGAGGAGGCGAAGGAAAAGGAGAAGGCTGTGGTGGCCGCCGCCATGTCGGTCGGTCCCCAGAGACGGAAGCGACGCCGTAACCAAGCGACGAGGGGAGGAGACGGGGCAAACAGTGGACCGGCCGGGGCCGGGCGGAGCTGAGGGACGGGAAGAACTGAGGGAAGGGCGGTGCTGAGGGACGGGAACAGAAGCTCACGGAAACCAAAGACTGCAAACGAAGTCCGACTTCGGGGCACCATTTGCGAGGTTCCAGCTCTCCCCTCAGGCATGACGTCCTCGGCTCCGCCCTGTCCTCGGCTCCGCCCTGTCCTCGGCTCCGCCCTGTCCTCGGCTCCGCCCTGTCCTCGGCTCCGCCCTATCCTCGGCTCCGCCCTATCCTCGGCTCCGCCCTGTCCTCGGCTCCGCCCTGTCCTCGGCTCCGCCTGTTCCGTCGTGACGTCGTTCCCGTCACTTGCCCCGACTCCTCCCTCGTCGCTTGGTTACGGCGTCGCTTCTCTCTGTGAGAACTGACCGACATGGCGGTGGTCACCATAGCCTTCTTCTCCTCTGCCTCCTCCTTCTCCGCTCTGGTGCGCCGGGGCTGGACGCCACTGAGGCGGTGGCGATCCCTCACGCGCAGCGCCAGCAGTTCCCCTCGCAACGCCGACAGATATGCAGCGGTGATCGGGGAGTTTTCCTCCGCGCTCCTTCCTTCTCCTCCTCGTCCTCCTCGTCCTCCTCGTCCTCCTCGTCCTCCTCGTCCTCGTTCTCCTCCTCGTCCTCCTCGATCGCCTCACGCTGTGGCTGGGAGCGCGCGCCGCACTCGGCGGGCGAAAAGGGCGCGAAACGCCTGAGGGCTCGGCTCGGCTCGGCTCCCCTCAGGATCGCCTCAGGAGATCCAAAGCGCCGGTGCTGAAACCACTGTCTTTGCTCTGTATTTTCAGATCTGAAAAGGTGAGGAAGCTGAACAGTTACTGAAATAGGCCTCTGACCCCTTGGATATTCTGTATAGCGAGAATTGATTCTGCCCGTTTTGCCACAAACAGCTGTATTTCTGGACCGATGCCTGCTTCTGTTCTCTGCCAGTATTACCAAACACTCTGAAAGTGTCAGAATAAATAAAACTCTCTCATACCATCTTCGTAGTGTTAGAAATGAAGGCATTACTTTATTTCTGGCCCAAGGTGTGTGTGAAAGACTGAAAGAATCCCAGTCCCCACACAGGCACCAATAATAGCCTTTTTTATCTGCTTTTACATTTTAGAAAACAAAGAGATAATTGATAATTGGTTCTAAATTACGTAATTCCTCAGTTCCTATTCTACCTTCTTTTGGCTATTAATTTCTCCTTTTCTATAACAGTTAGTCCATATCTGGAGTCTTTTTAGTGTCTTGCCCTCTGGTGGTGTTTTTCCAGCACAAATACTAAACCTTTTTTCTTATTATTATTTGTGTTCTGTCTTTCTGGATGTCCAGCTTCAACAGTATATTTTTTTTCCCAGGCTTTGCTCATTGAAGCACATCAAGGTCAGTTTAGCAAAAATTCTTACTTTTGCTAAGTAGAACTTAGAAAATTATTAAGAATCTATATCCTTACAAAAGTAGCTGGCTAAGAGTAATTTGAGGCCTGAGATTATGATTAATTAAAATAAGTAACTAAAAGGTTTAATTACAACCATTGAAAATTAGAAAAGCTATATATTTCCAACACCGCTAATAACTGGTTTTTCCAGTTCTGCAAAAGGAAGGTGTTCCTGCAATACTGATGTTCCAGAGGTTTTCGTGCAGGTTTTTTGAGACATGTAAAATACTGTTGTGATGCTCCATAAGAATGTTCTCATATTTATTCCCAAATAAGAAGTTCACAAATGTTCATTGTGGGTGGCTAAGTGTGTTGAAAAGGTCGGTCATATAAGTGATGCTTTAGTAAGCACAAGATACTGTTATTTAAAAAAAAAAAAAAAGTCAAGCAGGAGGGATATCCGTTTTGGCTCAGTTTGATTTTGTACCATTTTCTTTCTCATCTTCTCTGCTGAACGTAAAGAAAAGAAATTGCATGGACATAGGAAAAGGATGTGTGTGTCAGAGCAGGAGTCTGCCCCATTCCAGGCACGAGCAAAAAGCTGTCACGTTTGTGTTGTGTGAACAACTGACTTGCCTAAGGTTAGCAGTTCTCTTTTGCAAAAACTATTTAATGTGTTACTCCAAATTTCTTTCTTCTTTGTTTTTTTTTATTCTCCAGGTTGACATAAAAACAAGGTTACGGTTGCTTTCAGTCTCTCTGAGGCGAGTTTTACTTCTAGGAGACTCTTTCATCAGTGTACTTCCTATCTTAATTTCCACAACCCTTTCTCATTAGGATTCAGAAGGAAACTCCTCTCATCAGAAAATGGAGAATTAAGTTGTAAATCATAACAGTGTGGTTTAACTTTATGGTGTTTTTTAATTGGGAATCTTCTAACAGAAGTTTACAATGTTTTAAGTTTTAATAAGATGCATGATGATATCTTTTAATTAGTTATGTCCTTTTAATAGAAACCCACAAAATACCAACTAAATGCAAAAATCCTGTTTATGTCTCTCAACTGTTGTTACTGGCAATGTCTGAATTTCCTTAATAACTCTGCTGTCCCTTTATCTGGCTTTTTTAAGCATCCCGTAGTGCTCTCTGAATGGGACGTTGGGATTACATGGCCTCACAGTTGCAGGGTTATGTTGGGATCTGTCCTGGAATGGGTGACGTGTCGTTATGTAAAATGTGCAAAAAATAATCGTTCTGAGATGGAAATGGAGCGGAGCAGCCCCTCGACACCTGTGTCACCATCCTTTTATCCGCTCCCCTCGGCTGGGCCCCCGCCTCAGGCTTGGTTGTGCTTCCTTGTTCCCTGTGGGGCCCAAAGAGTCAGTCCCCTCCATTTTGGGGCAGCCCCTGGGTGGGTCGCCGCCATTTTGGGTCAGCCCCTGGGTCAGTCGCCGCCATTTTGGGGCTTCAAGGCCCTGGGTCGGTCCTGCCATTTTGGGGCAGCCCTTGGTCGGTCGCCGCCATTTTGGGCAGCCCTGGTCGTCGCCACCATTTTGGGTCAGCCCCTGGGTCGGTCGCCGCCATTTTGGGTCAGCCCCTGGGTCGGTCGCCACCATTTTGGGGCAGCCCCTGGGTGGGTCGCCGCCATTTTGGGATAACCCCTGGGTGGGTCACCGCCATTTTGGGGCAGCCCCTTGGTCGGTCGCCGCCATTTTGGGGCTCTCAAGGCCCTGGGTCAGTCCCTACCATTTTGGGGCAGCCCCTGGGTTGGTAGCCGCCATTTTGGGGCAGCCCCTGGGTCGGTCGCCGCCATTTTGGGGCCTCAAGGCTCCTGGGTCGGTCCCACCATTTTGGGGCAGCCCTGGGCTGGTACCGCCATTTTGGGGCAGCCCCTGGGTTGGTAGCCGCCATTTTGGGGCAGCCCCTGGGTCGGTCGCCGCCATTTTGGGGCAGCCCCTGGGTCGGTCCCCACCATTTTGGGGCAGCCCCTGGGTGGGTCGCCGCCATTTTGGGATAACCCCTGGGTGGGTCGCCGCCATTTTGGGGCAGCCCCTTGGTCGGTCGCCGCCATTTTGGGGCAGCCCCTGGGTCGGTCGCTGCCATTTTGGGGCAGCCCCTTGGTCAGTCGCCACCATTTTGGGGCAGCCCCTGGGTCGGTCCCCGCCGTTTTGGGGCAGCCCCTGGGTCTGTCCCCGCCGTTTTGGGATAGTCCCTGGGTTGGTCCACACCATTCTGGACCGGACCAGAGGCTGAATGACTTTCTCCTTCCGTAATCTGCAGCTCTGGAGAACAAAGCAATTTCCTAGCCATTCCTCAAAATATTTTATAAATGCTTAAATATAAATATAACTATTTTTCAGTTCAACAAGTTCATTACAATATAGCACAAAATATGATATTTACTCCAAACTGGAACTTTACATGGAAACCAAACCCCTTTCTGGTTCCAGAAAAAAAACAGTAATAAGGATTACAAACAGTTTTAGGTTGCTTACTGTGACTTACTGTGACTATACATTCTGCTATCTGCATTCGTTTATCTGGTGCTCTTCTTAGTATCTTGTGAATTTCAAAGAGCTGATGATGACAATTTCTAAGTCCCATGAGGACTTGAAAAAACTGAGAGGCTTTTATGTGTCCTGTTTTACTAGCATTTTTTGTTGGGCAATGTATGTACTTCCAAGCTGAAAAAGGGGTTGGGAGGCAAAAATCCAGAGTTGCACAAGAAGATGTTTTGATTGTTGTTTTAGTAGATTGACTTGCATAAGAATAAAAAATGTGACACAGAGCAGGAGGGAAGAACTGTAGAAGTTTTCAGTGATCCACAGCTTTCAAAGATAACATATAAAATAGGCCCCTATTCCAGCAGGTAAGTGATATGTTTCAACTTTTGAGGGAAACTGGTTGTTGTCAGTCTTTTAGTCACAGTCTTTGGTGTGCACCAGGCAGGGAAAGTGAAAAATCTGCCCTGGGGATGGAGGATTTTGCAAATATCTGCTGCTCCGCTCAAGCAGAGCTGGATGTACAGCTCCCTGGAATCCATGCTATTCCTGAGACAGACTGGTTCCAAGAGGGCAATGAGTTCATTTTGGATGGACACCATTCCCAGGCAGAAAGTTGTTATGTGTGCAGACACACTGAAGTCTATTGAGTGGTGGTCAGTGTAGGCAAGGCTTTCTCAGGGCTATGGAGGGGGAGCAGTAAGATCAGGTCACCTGGAAAGGGCAGGAAGGGAATGGTGGGAGGGAAAGGAAGAACATGTTTCTTGCTCTCTAACCATAGGTGTATTTTGGCACTGCCAAGGTTGGGGATGGAGGGCCCTTATCTACAGAATTCCCCAACGCTACTGAAGGAGACAGTTTTCCATATACCTTAGTTTGGCTGTGCCATGTTCCAAGGACGAGCCAGCATTCCTCAAGTGTCACAGGAGAACAGTGTGTGTCTCAGCCATGTCAATAAGGCCAGGATGTGGTTATGCCTTCAGGTGAGATTCTCTTGGATTTCACCTGCAAAGAGCAATTGCTTTGTCTGTCACTAAACAAGTACCCTGCCCCGAGGGATGGAAGTTACCAATTGCACTGGAAGAGCCCAGGCACAGGGATTCCTGGTTTTAAAAGTGTCAGAGGTCCTAGTTACAGCTGGGACCTGAACAGTTTCTTTATGGAAACAAGTTTGCTGTTGTAGATTGTTACAGTTTCTTACCACAGCAAACTTGTTGCTCCTTCACACCCAGGAAAACTGTTGAACTTCAAACACAGCCGCTACTTCAAGTTAAACCAGAATACAAATTCCTGCCGCTTGCAGGGGCGTGCTTGGGTTCAATACATCCATCTGGGGTTAATCTCTCTCTACATCAGAGATTACTCCTTCCCTGCATCCCAACAGCCACACTGACGCAGGTACACAGGTTCATTTTAACATGAATTTCTCTAAAAAAAAACCCAGTGTATTTTTACACAGGGAAATCCTTTAATTGAGGTATATTTCATTATATTGTCAGGACAAATCCAGCTTTTTATATCTGTTTTTTCCAAAGCTGAAGTTACCATTCAAGTCAACCACCTTACCTGTGTTCTTTAGCAGGAGCTGCTGCATGAAGATACTCCATGATTCTGTGATTGTATCTGGGTCTCAGGATTCCTGGAGCACAGGAAACTGTCCCTGCTCAGGCAGGCCCTGAGGAGCTGCTTGCAGAGCATTATTTACCCCATGGCTTAGTTGCCTTCACGTTACCCAGTTGTTAATTCAATACATGCAGGAAGTGATTTGGCTGTTTTGTTGCAGGCTTTGGCTGTGTGCTTTTCCACAGCAGGTATTTATTTGGCTTGGCACCTGGAGCGGGAGCATGCATTCCCTGGCAGCAGGCCCAGGAAAGCCAAAAGACAATTAAAGAGGAGATATTTCCTTTCAGCAGGTGAGGGCTTCTCCTAAATGCATGAGAATGGCTTTGGAGGATGTGTCCCCGATACAAGTCTGAGGTGAACTTTTCTCCTGGCCTAGGAACCATTTAACATGGACAATCTCTGAAGGGGCAGGGATTTTTCTTGCAGGGATTTGGTTAGGAATGAATTAGCTTGTGATTTGTAAAATGTGATGTCACCACTTCCTACTAGTATCTGAAGTCAAGGGCTGTGTCCTGCTGATACCATCTCTTAGTTTTATCGTTATGTTGCCTTTTTTACCTCTAACAATAATATGTTTTGTAGTATTTCCCAGCTATAATGGGAATAAAAAACCCAATCCAAGCCCCCAAATCAGCATCACCCCAACCTGGATTAAGACAATTTCAATCCAACTAAGTTTTCAGATCAATTGGAGCTGAGTAATTTTTGAGGGTGTGCTTTGGATAGTTGTGGTCTTTTTGATTAAGGTGATGAAATCAGTTGAGAAAACAGTGTGATGAGATGAGCGAACCACAAGAAAATGGGAACACTCATTGGAATCGTCACAAAATCTTTGCAGCTTTCTCTCATGACACCCACACTTTGATCCTGTCTGTTACTTTCAGTGCTTGTGTTGCAAGGAAGGAAAAATGGAGAAGTCATACTTGGCTTACACCCTAGAAGATACTAAAGCTGCCATCCCAGGGAATTCTGTCTTACAGAACTTGAGTGCCGCGTGCAGGGTCAGCCTTCGGCACATTTGGAGTCTGTGGTAAAATTAACTAGATTGTTCCTGGCAACAAAACATGCCTGCTCTTTGTTGAAAGGAAGGCAAAATGGCAGTGATAAGTTTGCTCAATTCACAGTTACTTATCCAAAATAACACACAAAACAGCGAGAGGGACACATAACCTTTCAGCTTGTTTCAGGATGTGTTTAGGGAAGGATGTATTTGGAGGAAACCCATCAATAACATTTTTGATGAATGTGATCACCACTGAGGACAGTGTGGATGGTTATGTCTCCCATTATCTTGTGTTTCTCTGTTGTTTTTCCTCCCTTTTTAAATTTTCAGCTTGTGGGACTCCAAGTCGCCTCAATACACACAAGATACAGGAATATGTCAAGACATTTGTTTTAAAAGTTATGGCAGCTAACTTTCTTTCCTAAAATTGCTAGTGAATGCCCATCAGGAGTACATTGAGGTGGTAGGAGACTAAGCATGCTAGAGGCTTTCTCTAGAAAATAAGCTGTTGAGAAAAGCAACCTTTGATTTAATTTTAATTCTGCATTTTTACCTTTGGTTTTCTTATAAACATTAGAATATTGCCGTAAAGTAAATACACACTTTTCTCCAAATACTTTTCTGCTGTGAAAATTTTTCAACAAGGAAATGACTGTAGGATTTGGCCTGCCAACAGGTCAGATGCGTGCAGGTGGATTGATAGCTTTTTCTCATGTTCCTTGGTCAATCGAGTCTGCTGCTGACTACAGAGAAAGATTTGGCTATGCAAAAACTACTTGGAGTGTTTTTGGTGTTAGGTAGGAGTGGGTGAAACTTCAGTGTTCATTATAAACCAGCTACAACAAAACCTGTTTTCTTTGGCTCTTTTTATTAAACTTGTGTTCACAGCGAGCAATGCTTACGTAAATTGCTTCTCTTTTACAGTATGACGGTCATTGCTGTCAGAGATGAAGTTCCAAACAGAGAAGAAAGCAGAATTTGAGGACCTGATAGAATTTTGACAACAGGAATTCAGTAAGTTAGCAAAAGAAGGTGTTAAAGATCTGACACCTGCATGGATAAACTCTTAATTAGTTACTGACTTTCAGTTAGAAAACCTTCCCTTTTAACTGCAGTTTAATTGTTTTGTCTGTGCTTGTGTTTTGCCCCCACACAGTGGATCATTCTCATACATTTTTATTCCTTCAAGAAGTTCTGCTTCAAGTAAAAAGAAACACATATAATCCAGGCTCTCACTAGCATGTCTACTGTTCATTAAACCTTCCACTAAATGCTTTTTAGCACACACTTCACATAGAAGCGATGAATGTTTCAAGCTTTTTATTGATATTTTGAGTTGAATTCTGATTTTCATGTCTGCTTGCAATTTTGAAAAAAATGTGGTCTCTCTCAAAAACAGAAGAGGAGAAGAAGAATTGTCAGTGTTTTTGAAGTCTCCATATTCCTGTGCAAGTATGCAATATATGTCTTTAATAAAAGAGCTGGGCTAAGGGGGTGGACTTATTTATTTGCTCTTCTAATGAGCTATAAAACTTTCATCATTCTGGAAAACAGTTTCAAGGAAAAAGCTAGAAGCTCTCAGGAGTTCAGTGTGAATGTTGGTTCAGTGCTTAAAATTTGGGTTTGGAATTCTGGCATTTTGTATTAGCTGAGTCAGAAAAGCTGCTTAACTCTACTCAAAAAGTGACGGCTCATTCAGAGGTAAGTTGATTAACTGGGTCCAAATGTGCTCTCAAAAGAAGCTGCTTGCCTAATGACCTCTTACTTCCATAGATTTTTATAAGGTGTCTATGTAGGAAAAAGTTTTCTGTAAAAGATAAAAAAACTGGATTTTCCCCAGTTTACCTGTCTTCCAGTAAGGAGTAGGAGAAATCAACAGAGTAATAGAGGAGTTGCCAAAATGCACTTCACCCTTCTGCTAGGGTCCTTGGCTGAGTCCATGGAGATACACACAGGTGGGATCTGACAAACTGAGTACAACTCTTCTTTTCAAAACAAAATTGATCATGTTCCTCATGAATTTGAATTTTCATAGAAAAAGATAGCTGGACATATCAAAGGTTGATACTTGCTAAAATAAATGATATTTGTTAATGGTGCTAAGTTATTCAGGATAGCTATGTTGAAATCAGCCTGCAGAAGATTAGAGAGAGATGTCACACTGCTGCCTGTTTCATGACAGGGCAGAGAAAACAGTATCGGTAAGCTTAGTTATACCTGTAATCTTCCAGATTCTTCCACACTGAGAATCTCCCTCCTTAGAAATCCACAGGAACTGTGAAGTCATCTGTGCACTGACTGGCACCAATGGTTATTATTAAAAATAATTTAACTGCAGGTAATAGTAAAAATCAATTTTCATTATGGTTTGTAACAACAGTGATCTCAGGCTTATTTCTATAGGTAACAAAACTCTTGTTTCACTTTTGCATACAGAAACACAATGCATATTTTCTTACCCCATGATCTCCATGGCAGTTTGTGTAATTTCCAAAGATCCATTTCCTATGGAGTCGCTCATAATATCCTGTTACAAGGATTAATGCAACGCTTGGAACAAGTCTGCAATATCAAGCCAGTGTTATGTGTAACTTTCCTGGGATTTTCCCAGGAACATTTCTGATAAGAACAGAAGAAATGCAATCATTTTAGAATGGGAAGCAATCGATAATCATACAGCATAGGTCATGCGTCTGTCACCTTATACATAACCAGGATGTTTATATTAGTCAATATGATGTTTATATTAGTCAATATTCAGCACCAACAGAGAAGTTGAGGCCAACAAACTAAAGTTTGTATTCTCTTCTTCTAGGAGTTAGAAATATTTTTTCAGGGACTTTCCAGTATTTCTTCCAGTGACTTCATTTATAGTTTGCAGCATTTATACATTTGAGAGAAATATACTTTCAGTATTACAAGAATAGTAACATTGAAGTTCAAGGGAACAAATTAAAGTTTGTGATTAAAAATGCTTTCAATGCAAGTGCAGAACTCCAGCAGCCAAGCATGGGAGGGGGAGTTTGAGGATAAGGAAGTGACATGAGTTCTTTGCTTGGTTGGTATTTGCCACTTTCCTCTTGGCCCTCAATGAAGCTTGTTGGTGAAAGAAGGAAATAAAAGCGGTTTGGAAAGAAGGTTAAATAAGGGACCAAGAGAATAGCTGAGGACAGAAGGGACATGTAAACACCTCTGCTACATTTCATTGTGAGGAGGGCAGTGAGATGAAAGGGGAGGGCATGAATGCCTGTGGCAGCTGTAAAGTGGAATGGCCTTCTGAGACTCTTGTAGAAAAACAGTTTAGATGCTAAATGAAGTGGCCAAGGGGAGCAGAAGCTTTCAGAAGATTGGGTAAAAAAGGAGATGAACAAAGACACGTAGTTAGGTGCACTGGAATCCCAGGGTCTGTCCTTCCATTGTGGTGCAAATGTTCTGACTCATAATCACCGCCTGCTCAGCTTCTTGGTTTGTTACACAGATGTGCAGGTGTACACACACACAGAGACATTGCAGAGCCTGCATGTTTCCAAAGGTTCCAAACATGTTTTCCTCAGTTTTCTCCTGTGGCTTCTGCATGGTCTGATAACTGAAGGGCCACAGGGCACATTGTTTATAGTTGGAGTGGCTGAATGCCCCAGTGGCCTAATCACTAAGTAACCAGTGCTACACCCTCCTTTTCATGAGCTTTCCAGTCTAAGCAGGTAGGTGGGATTATAGAACATAGTATATCTAGAGGAGTTATGCAGTTCCTAAAGAAAGCCTTCATCCAGGTTTGCTGTATAGAAAACTCTTCAGGGGTGGGCAGAAGGGAACAAGTTTATGTAAAGGACCGTAGTGGTCCAGCTTTCTTATAGTCAGTTGGATCAGAAAACAGACACTTTGCTATTTCCCATTCAGATCATGTGAGATAGATATACACCATGAAGACAGAAAGCAGTTTGGATGATGGAATTGTTCTCTTTCAGTCCCCAAAAAAGGAGAACAAACCTTCCAGCAATTATTGAGTCAATACCCACACCTGTTTTACCACTTCTGAACACAGCTTTCCTAATTTGTATTCTTACTGGCAACACAGGTCATCTTCCAGTGCTCTACTTGTCCTCTAACCTTTCTTCTCTATCTGTACTACTTTTCCCATTTAGTAAATCCTGATCTACGTTACAGGAGATTTCTTCTAATTATCAGAGAACTTTATATTTACTATTTTCTTGCAATAGCCCAGTCCTGCCTCTAAAAGCAGCAGGTTATCTAGAGTTTTTCCCAGTAAATGATGACTGGTGACTTCAGTGCTGATGACTGTGCTCTGGATATTATCTGGATTGTTTCATGCTGCAATTTTTTGCACATTAAGATTACAAACTAACTCTGTGAAAGCTTTTCCAGCTCTACAGGCAGCGTTTCTTACTTCAGCTGACTTAAAAATACAGTTAATTTTGCTGGCACCTGAAGAAAAATTACATTAAGCCAAAGAATGGTAACAGAAAGAGGAAAACACAGCTTTTTTTCTCATTTTCAATAAGAGAAAATACCCACTTCAGAAGACAAAGTGGTGTTAACCTTGCTTTGCTCTCCTGGCCTTGTACTGCTTTTATTCAGGGTTATAAAATTATCATGCAAGGACACCTCATGGGCCAAGGAGAGGATCAGCATCAGTCTTACTGAGAAAGGTCTTCAAGAAGGAGCAAGCCAGAGACAGCTCTCTCTTATTTTAGGATCCCAAAGCTACCTGGCAAAAGTCCTTCTGCTATTGTAAGACTATCTAGATCAGAGGTAACAGTGAAATAAAAGTGTGCATACCTCAAATAAATAGGTATACTCTAGTTTAAAGTAACAGCCTTTAAACCTGCACCCTTTCTCACCTGTTCCCAGTTCCCTTTCTGACAGTTTTTAGAAGAGGCAGGTATCGTGTGCTCAGCACTCTGTATTCCAGGGATCAGAATAAGAAGCAGTTGTTACGCCAGGGTAAATGCTTGCTATTTGGGTATCCAGAGTAAAGATCACAAATTCCCATTTGGATGGGAAAATAGTGGCCTTTTGATGTAGTCAAGATCTGCAACTCTGGGGCTGATCTGTACATTGGCAGTGCTCAGGTATCTGAGGGTAAAATTCTCTTGTCTGCAAGGTAGTTAAGGAAGGGGCCTTGGCCTGCAGCCCACCACTCCCCATGGATCGGGAACAACCTAAAGAGGAGAGTGAGCCATTTACCCTACCCTAAAGATTTGTTAGTGTATTTGGGAATGTCAGGTTACCGTGACAGGGGGAGTTATGGTACCGTGGACTGAAAAGTTTCATTTCAGTTCCAGAAATCAAGCTGGCAAAAATAAAGCAGACTGCTTCCAAATATAGCAAGTGAAAATTTAAAACATCAAACATAACAAATGGATTTCTTATATAAAACTTTTAATAATACATTGTTTGGAATAATTACATTCACAATCAAATTCTGTGTATGTAAGATGCATTTTTTTCCATTAACTGAGGGAGTAGCTAATTAGACATATAGTCAAATACAGAACAATCAGATTGTATTTCTTCAGAAATTAATAGTAGGAATGAAAAATGCAGTAGAAATTAAATAAATTGTAATACTTTTCTTTCTTGCATAGAAACTACTCAATAAATACATTTATAAATACCATGGAAATCACAATACATAAATACCAAACACAGTGTTACACATTCTGTAGTTAGGTTTTTCAAGTTCGACATTATAGTTCACAGTCTGGCCACAGGCTGACTGTGGTAGAGGAAACTGTTGTTGACACAACATACTAGTGCACTCCAGGGGAGCAGGAGGATTCATCAGTTTGCTGGTGAAATAGCAAAGCTAAACAGTGCTGCAAGTGCATTGCACTTCACTGGTTGTGTTTGGCTGAGGTGGCTGCCAAGGGTTCTCGATCTCCCTCGGCAAACCACTTTTCCTGCAGTGTCAATGGACAGTGTGTCCCATGGGCAACACTGACCATTGTGAAAGACTTCCTTAAATACATGCAGTTAAATAAATAGTTAAATAAATAGAACCATCCATAATTAACATCACAACACTCATGCAGGAGGTGGGAGATGGGGCACTGCCTGAATGATCCTCCTCTTGGTGAAGGAGCAGCAGCAGTTCCCAGATTTTTTCTGTCCCGGTGTTTCTTAGAGTGGTGAGTCAGAATTTTGTTGAGCCCTTTTAAGAGATGAGGAAAGAGGATTATTTAAGAGGATGTTAAAGACAGTTATCACTGCTTAGCATTGCACAAAGAGTTAAGGGGTCTCTTTCCAATTCTATGTGCTATCTTGAGGTACAGGGAGAATAAAGTTAATTTTTCAAAAGCAATTCCTGAAATCCCAGCATATGCATGTCTGCTGCCCAGCTGGGAAACCTCTGCAGCCTGAGCTTCTGTGCTGACTTGCAGCAAGAACCTCATGAACTCAGAAACAGGAATTAAGTAAGGGGAAGATGACTTTTTTAATGCCTCATTTTCGAAGGGAGCTGAACTTGTTAGTGTTTCTGTCGCTGCAGATGGAGTTGCTGGTACTCAGAGGTTTAGTGCTGATGTATCAGCTTGAGCAAGGACTCTGCAGCAAGGTCAGAAAAACTAGGACTAATTCTATAATTAAGCAGGAAATTTCCCTGTTCTTTAAATGTGATTAAGAAGGAATAGAAAGTATCACTAAGAAATCCTACAAATTGTTTTTTTCTGGGAGGTTTACCTCTCAACTGCCCAAACTGAGAGGAAATGGGACTTACTTGGCCAGAATTGCCTTTACAATCAGCTGTACCCAGGGAGCACTGGGCTCCAAGCACACTTCTCTGCTGTCCTTCAGAGTAGCTCTGCAAAACAGGGGGTAAAGAAGAGTGAGAAAACTGCTACGTGGATTTGTTTTACTCACAAAATGTAATCTTGCATTTATACATTAGACAGTTTAAATTCATCTCAGCTGCTCTAGCTTAGACTTTACCATTTTGTTTAATGTGTTCTACAAGTGAAGAGACTAGAACCCTCCAGAACTGTGTGAGTCTCTGTGTCTGCTCTGAAAGCAGTCGCACATTCCCAAAAATCTCTGTCAATATATATGGATGCTTGGTTTGGATTTGTTTACATGACAAAAGCTTTCTTACATGATTGAAATGTCCAGTGGTGAAAAAGAGGTTCAGCAGTGTAAGGATTTCAACATTTTAGTCCCTCCTCTGTGCTATTCAGACCAGGTTAGGTTCATTGTTTCCCTGAATCTGTTTGTGGGAACTTACTTTTTCTCACTGAGCCTAATAAATGCAGGATTCAAGCTATGTCATTACCTCATGTATTAATAAGTGACAACTCCTTGCAATTCATATTCTACCATTAGAGATATTTAATATGCCCCAGGACAGATGAACAACAATCAGTTCAGGAATACAGGGTCATAGAGAGGGTGAAAAATGTGATGTGTCACTTCAAACTGTCTCTCCCAAAATAATAACCAAATCTGACTAAATCAGGTCAGCCTGCTCACTGTCATACTTGTGAATCCCCAAAGTCCTGCAGAAGTGGCAGCAGCAGGGTGTAGGTGAAGAGGAAGGAGCCTCTTGCAGAGCTACTTACATGACTTCAACGTTCTTGCAGTGGGGGCCGCTCTGTATCAGCTTCACATCCTGAATGGATTTCGGAGGGATGAACCTGGAATGAGTGGCTATGCACTGGCACCGGAGCTCTGTTCCCATCCTTGCCAGGGTCCGACCTGTGAGCAGAAAACGCAGATTGGGGTTTAAAAGGTGGTCTTATTGTAACTATATCAGACATAAAGCAAGGCTGCTCTATTCTAACAATGTTCTCGATTAAAATATTGCATTTGTCCAAGCTGCATAAATCCTCAGGGCATGAGTAGCAGTTGCATATATGTTTCAGAGGAGCTGATGCCCAAGCACGCTGGAAACTAAATTAACACGTCTTTTAAAAATGAATCCACATATTTTATGGTTCCTTGTGCTTGACCCCACTGTATGGTTGATTGCATTATTTGGATATCTGGATCAGAAAACTTGGCCACTCTGCAAAAGACAGAGCCTTAGACTTGTTCATTAGTTGGAGGCTTGCCCATGCTTCTGTGTTCATATTGTTTACTCTCTATTTTCCTAACTGCACATTACTTGCTTGAGGCAGCATAGTCACTAAGCAACAAATATGAGATAAACTGTTCTCTGTGTGGGAAAGCAGAGAAATACTGGAACACTTCAGAAGATCCTGTCTCTAGCCACTTGCACTTCAAATGAAACACAGAAACAAAGCAAATGCAAGTTAAATCCTTACAGTTTTTCCCACCAGGTGTCAGTAACTTTTCAGTCCAAAAGTTCTCTTTCTGACTGAACAGAGGTGCTGAAAATCTCCCAGACTAATCTACTGAGACAAATAGAAAGCTACTCTGCAAGGAGAAGCATCTCAGTAGATGCCTGGCCAATGCTACAACCACGGGGTCCTTGGGAGGCTTTACTTACCTTGAGACACAGCTGCTGAAAGCAGGAAAAGAGCCAGGACAGCCACAAGTTTGCCGTTCATGGTTGGACAGGAGTTTTTCTGTGTGTTGTTCAGCTCTGGTTCTGGGGAGTAGTGAGCTCGTGTCCTGAAGGATTGTTGATGCTGGCTCTGGGAGATCCATCATGCTTATATACTGTTTTGTGCCCAGCCTGTGTGCTCTGCTGGCATGGCGATTGCGTTACAGGAATTTCCCAGATGCAGTAAAAATGAGTCACATGGCTGTTGTGAAACTCCTTCCTAGATGACGAGGAATTATTCTGCTAAGAATGATATATTAATTTATTAAAATATGTATACACGCACTCCAATTTTTTCTGGTAGATTTTTGTGACTTTTATGCATTTTCTAATGTATGCCCTTGTTTAGTAAGATAAGTTTAGGATGGCTTCAGTTACATTTATGTTACCACTTTGAATTATTTTCTTTAGTTCCTTAAACTGTTCTTTGTAGGGATGCCAGGTCTATACTTGAGATACTGAGTTTCTTATCCCCATCTATGATGACAGCTTCTACTCACTTGATTTAAGCCATTGGACTGGAAACTGGGCAGTGCTGAAATCACTGTAAAGTTTGTTCACTTGGGTCAGGTTTTTACCTCAGCACTCTTTTGATGTAAATTAGTTTCATTTTTGTTCTTTTTTTTTCTGTTCAAGTGGCATCTTAGAAAGTAAATTCATCACTAATACTCTGTGTCCAGTAAGGAACTGAGGGTTCATTGTTCAAAGCTGCACATTAATGAATGATAAACAGAGGAAGCTTTATAGGCAAAATAACAGCATGACCTGGTGAACACAACTGCTTTTGTTTCCTCTGTAAGGCTAGATAATTTTTATAAGTTTTCTGAAGTCTTTTTGCAGTGCCAGTAACCTTAGGTCTTAGCAAAGGGAGATAACAGTAAGTATTATGGCACTGTGTAGACATTTCTGTTAGGAAATGTTGTGCAAATGTTGAGTCTTTATTTGCTGTGGCTGGTAGAGATAATGCCTCGTGAGGGAGACAGTTCCAAGGGAAGATGGGCTCAAATGTTGAGCTGTTGCTCAAATTAAGATTTGGGGGTTTTAACCCAGCTGGAGTGTGATTGCAACAAGGTGTTCTGTTTTGGTGCTGTAAAAACATTGTCCTTTTGTTATGATGACTTTTGCTGCTTCTCATCTTCATCCTCTCAGCTTTGTGGGTTTGGGATCTGTGCATTGATAGAGGCACTACTCTCCAACTCTGAGGAGTTCATAAAAACTCAATCATCTTTAGTATGTAAGGCATTATAATTTATTTCTAGTAAGAATTGAACAGTTTGTCCATGATTTCTCATGGTTTACTGTGATACACTTGTCATTAACTTGATAAAAGGATCTGTGCAATGAAAATTCATCTGTTTCCCATTACTATGTCAGCTGTCCTGGGAAAAGATCCAGCAGCTTTGTCTTTTCTACCTCTTACTGAGTGACCAAAGATTCTGATTCTGACCCCTGAGGGTGCTTAGAGGGTCCTTAGCTGTGTCTCTTAGAGATCTTCACTGAAAAATACATTTAGTTCTCTGAAGGTAAGAAACAGAAGAGGGTTGTGCCAGGAACTGAGGTTTATGGTTTATTGTTTATATTGTCTTATTATGTTTGTGTTGTATTAATGTGTGGTTTCACTAGCATCAGATTGTACATGTTGGAGTTTTAACCAGTTTACTTGAAACAAGACTTTGCTGATTTTTTTTTCTTCTGGCTTCTATCTCTGTGTCTCACACACATATGCACACACACAGAGGTTAATCAACATTCCATTGGGGTCCCACTTTTCTATTATTTGCAGCCTTATTGTCTAATTTTGGCATGTTCTCAAATGTTATTAATATCTGGGGGGAAAAAAGGAGAATTCCCCTTCAAATCCCCAAGGGAAATTAGTGACTGCTTGTCCTCCTTACTGCCACACTCAGCTATTTCCTGCGTGTGGCAGTAACGGATCTGCAGAAATCCCCAGGTCAGAAGTGAAGCCAAGAGACTGCTCCACCTATGATCAGCCCTGCCCCCAAGCCAAGAGTATCTGTCTAAAATAGCAGGATGTTTGTAATCAAATATAAATCCACGATGTTTTCTGAGAGCTGAAGCATCTCCTCTCCCTCTACTTTGTTGCTGATGTTGCGGTTTCATTGGGATTATGTGAAGGGGGTGTAAGAGACAATAGTGGCATGAGAAGGTTGAGGCATGAAATCAAGCCCAAAGGCCAGTCACTCCTAATCTGCGTTCCTGGGAGTGCCATGTTTCACCCAAGTTCTCCCTACATCTCTTCAACTCTTTGCCTGGGATCTTATCCAGGTTTCTGCCATGGGAACTGCAAATCCAGTACTGGATTTTGGCAGCGTGTGTTTTCCTGCCAGCCATCAGAGATGACTGGTGCAAATGGAATTGCTGCTCCTTTTGAAGGATCGCGTCACTGAGGGAGCTGATACTGGTGCGAGCAGAGACCTTCCATGCTAAACCCTGTTAAAACCACGCTGGCAGTGAACAAAACAACACTTATGCAATAGTCTGATTGCTGAAACACTACTGAAAAGGAAGTAAATACCTCCCTTGCCTGTGTTCTAAGGCAGGATATAGGAGTTCTCTATGTTACAGGATGGAAACTAGTGGTTTTTCATGACTCATCACCTTGTCTACTGAGCACAAAAGTCAAAAGGCCATATTTTAGGATCTTGATTGGGATCTTTGTACGTAGCAAAGGACACCCCCACCCAAGGGACACTCTAAAGGGGATTCAGGTCTTCTCCAGTGACCAAGACCATCACTAGGGATGCGGTAAAGCTGAGCCTCAGTCTCTTATTGGTTTGAGTTGCTCCAGTTCCAGAGGAATGCTCCAGTTCCTGGGCTGGTAAAGTTTCTCTAAGAAAGGAATCTGCCTTGTTTTAGATGAATTCCAACTTCTCACATGAGAAGTTGTGCACACAAGACCCAAAGGCTCAGGAGGCAAAACTTTTGCTGGAATGAGGGTTCAGCCTGTGCAAGCTGAGCTTGTGCAAGGTGAATGTCAACTCCCGTCTCCTGTGTGTCCTCTCTACCAGCTACTCTTGTTCCCCAAGCAACAAATCTCGCTCTGTCTTCTGAAACCACCTCCTTTGCTCTGCAAAGGTGTTGGATTTGCCTGCCATTCCACTTGAACTGCAGAAAGCTGAGGGGACAAATACAGGAGCTGGGAAATAATCACTTCTGCTGCTCAGAAGCTGGACGCAATGTTGTGCAAACACTTGTGGAAATTTACAGTGAGGCAGAGCTTAGGGAAAGATACGTAAAAAGCAAAATATCTGCTTGACCTCCGGGGTTTGACTTGCTACAGGAGGAAGTGATAGCAAGGAAAGGAGAAAGGCTTAGGTCAGCCTGTGGGATTTTTCAAACTTCAGTGTCTAAATATAGATGATTATGTAGCCTTAGTCAGGCTTTTCAGTTGATTGCCTTTTAATTTATGTATTTATAAATACAGTAGAATAATTATATATTCATATGATTGCATATTTATTTATTATATATATTTCAGCTCTGCTTGAAAACAGTCAGTTCTGGCTTGTAGCTTTCACTTCAACATTTTTTGTGAATTAAATGTTTCATTTGATGCAATTCAATATGAGAAGTCATTGCAAATATTAATATGAGGTATCTAGTAATATTGCAAATGATACATTAGTATTCATTATAGTCTTAACATAAAATATTAGTAAATATCAATAAATTAATATTAAATTTTATTTTCCTGGTATTAACAGAAAAGATACTAAGTGCACCTAGGGAATTGTTAGGCACGAGCAGCTGGGCTTTACTAGCCTGAGGAAGGCTGCATTTATTGCTTAATTGCATTTGCATTTCATGAGTGTGGCCGGAAGCATTTTCTGACTGTGCACATAAGCTCTGGCAGTGGCGGGAGGAACCACAGGGTGAGTTTTAAGAAGTTCGTGCCAGGAACTTTTGATTAAATTAGAAGCGGTCAGTGGCCATAACACACGCACGCATTCATGCCGGACTCTTGTAAGCGAGAACCGTGTCAGAAAAGCTGTAATATGTAAATTTGCATCTCAAGCTACTGGACAGGTCAAAGCTTACTGTTCACCAACAGTAAGATTTGCCTCTCCTGCTCAGGGGCAACAGCAGGAAGGAACAGAGGGTGTATTCAGTCAACTTATGGATTCAGATCTGAATCCAGACTTGCTTTGGTCAAGGGGCCAGCTGGGGGTCAAACCCCACCTCCCACCCTGGGGCTCAGGAGATGGAACTCCACAGGGAACTCATGGTATTTTGGAGTCCTTCATTGCTCTCACCATGAATTTGTCTCTGGTCTGGTGCCTGCTGCTAGAACCTGCACTTCAGTGCTTTCTGTCTCAGAAATTAGATTTGTATGGCCAGGCATCATCAGTATGTAGCAAATCACTGAGAGAAAACACTTCTAGCACCCTTTTGACTGTAGAAAGAAATTGTCGGTGACTCAGTGGGAATCGACACATGAAACCAATGTTCAGTTATATAAGCATTCCCTTGGACCCTTGAGCAGTAACAGAAAATAAATATAAAAGCTGCAACATCCTTTTGCAAAGCAAAAAAAAGTGGTCTATTATAGTGTTAGGTAGAACTAACATGAGACAGAAAAAAATGGCCAAATATTTCCTGTTATATTAAAATAAATACAGTGTTCTTTTCTTCAGAAATATGATTTCTAAACTTCTTTTGGTATATATGTGTATACGTGTCCTCTCTCTGCGTGCATATTCCTGTCTATAAGTGAAACTACAGCACAATAAATAGAAATAGCACAGGTGATGCAGTATCTCTAATTTTAGCAGCTTCCTTCTGAAAGCCATGAACTCATAGTCATTACCCTGAGGCTGGCAGTGACTTGGAACTGTTGATGAGACAGTGAAGCACTTCACAGGAGGTAGTTTAGGTGTCAGCCCGTGCTTGCTTGCACCTGTGCTGCAGGTACACCTAGTCAAATACTGTTTAGCTAAAGTCACTTACAAACTCTTCATTCCCTGATCTCACATTCCTACCTTACTCCTTTGCATCATCCCAAGGTCCTGTGTCCTGTGTGCTACTGGCCAGCCTAGAATGTCTTAGTTTCATAGGAGCTTTGTAGTTTTTTCCTATGTCATTCACTTTGGCTGCTTCCTACAGGGAATTTCACCTGGTAGTTTGTTGCCTAATCAGTGAGTCTCCTAAGGTCTTTCTGCAGTTCTTTATAGCTGAGCCTTGTCTTTACATCATCATCAGAAAACTCCAGACAACTTGTGCGACTGCCAAACCAAACGGGACCCCACACCAAGTGGTGTAGGAATCCACGGGTTATGTCCCTTTATCGATAAAAGCTGATCTGTTTCTGCACTTCATCTCTGAGTATTCATTTCCAAGACCTCTTTCTTAGCTTCATTATTTCTAAAGTTTAGTGAGGGCTGTGAAAGGATTTCAGAAAGAAATTATGACTCTACCTGTGGGACCTGCCACATCCTTAGGTTGGTTGTCACCTTCAAACAACTGTAACAAGTGCATGAAAAATTACTTCCTTCCAAGCTATACAGATACTTCCTTATTATGTGTTTATTCATGTGTTTGCTAATTCTGTTTCTGCTTTAAGTAAGATCATTTGAGGGTAACTAATTTCATCTTGTTTATTCTTATCCTTACAGCACTAAAACACATTCATTAAGCTTGAACTCCTTGATCCATCACAGACAGAAGTTAAGAGATAGACACAGCAAAGGAAATATGGAGATTTAGCAGCTATCTCAGGGAAAGAAAAATAATCGACTGGAGTCATGTAGCAGAGGGGGGGTCTGTTCCTTGGCATTCTCATCAGCATTTCCTCTCATATCCTTGAAGAATTCCAAAGTGTATTTTTCCTTGACTTCTCTCTGACTGGTGGCTCAGTATTGTCCTTGGCCCTGTAATTAGATGAAGTATAAGGTGAATTCAGAAATTTATTGAAGAAACTTTACTATTAATACAAGCTACAGGAAGAGCAATAAATGCTCACGAATTGTTAAGGACTTATTTTTACTGTATCAACAGATTGACATGTGTGCAAAGACAAGAAAAATCTGTGTTCCTCCAAGAACTGCTCCAACAGAAAGGACTTCCACGTGCCTTTGTGCAAAGTAGGGATTTGACTGTCCCTGGTACAGCAGTGAAAGCTCTTGGAAATGCCAGCTGCATGTCTGGTTTATACCCAGAAAGAGGAAGTCAGTCTTCGAGAGCTTGATTTTTGGAAATGTCAAACACACCCCAAATGTGCTGTCTCTCAGCAGAGGTTTAGGGGCATCACAACTGTGGCCTTTTGGGCAGCTTAACACACCTGAAAGATATCAAAGCTAGGACACTCTTTTGCTCCTCAGGCATGTAGAAGTATTGATTTAGAGAGAACTGTTGGAAAGAATTACTAATGCCTGAGGAGGGTGAACATTTGCATGCCAAGAAATTAAATGTGCCTTTTAAAATTAGATTTTCACTGAAGGTGTTCTGGTAAAGGAAACAGCTTACCTGGCCAGCAGAACCTTTACAGTGAGCCGGACCCAGGGCGCAGTGGGTTCCAGACACACTTCCCTGCCGTCTTTCAGTGTAGCTCTGCCCAGAGAGAAACAGAGAAGTGAGGGCCAGGTGGATCCCTGCCACCCTCCTAATGGCTGGAAATTTCTCCTAGCCATTTGTCCATTAAGTAACTGAAGGACTTGTTTTGTCTGATTTGGTTGGAGGTTTTTATGACTGATGTCAAGATAGGTGTTTATGCTGTAATCTTATAATGAGCCAAATTAATTCTCTATTTAATTTCAGTTCACTATGTGGTCATAGTTTAGCAGATCTTTCAAGAACTTAATTTCTTGACCAAACCTGACTGAAATTAGCAATTGCTAGTGAGATGGAGCTGGATATCACACTGTGCTGCACAGAGGGTATGATTGTACAAGCATTATTTGCTTAAGAAACAATAGTGAAAGAACCCTTCTATTTACTGAATGCATTGGTCCAGTTTGTGTGACCAGTTCCTTGTGTGGTTTTAAATGAAGCTCACTGTATGTTTTACTTTGTAGCCACATGGAATGTAATCTAAATCCCACACTCCACACAGGGAGTGTGCACTCCGTGTGCAGTTCTGACACAGGCTTTCAAACTTTGCCACATGCAGACCAAGTCATGGAAATTGTTTGAATTCATCTCGATCATCGAGCTTGTATCTTTGATTGATTCTTCATTGTATAAGTTACTAATTGGATCGTGGATGTGTTGTGGGGATCTAATTCTCTCCTCTGATGTTGGTGATAATTAAGATTTGAGCAGAGAGAGTTTTAAAAAGCTGTCTGAAAGCTGATTGTAACATTGGCAGGGAATTAGGTCGTTCCTTTGGATAGAGGCCCTAATTCCTGACGTTTGGTTTCCCTGAGGCTTCACAAGGGAAATATTCCACCCAAAGTACATAAGTAACTGGAGTGAGCAGTGCGGAATCAGTTCCTCCTGTTGGAAGCAAGACACTGTTTAGCAAAAGTGCTCACATGATTTCCACATTTTTGCAGTGAGGTCCTCTTTGGCTTAATCTCACATCCTGAACCGTCTTGGGAGGGATGAACTTGGAATGAGTGCTTATGCACTGGCACTGGGAGCCTTTTTCCTTGGTTTTTTCCAGGGCCTTACCTGTGGAACAAAACTCACTTATTTGTCTAAGTACATGAACATTCTTTTTATTTACCCTTATGAAGCAACCTGTATTCCCTTCTGCCAGATTTACTCTTGTTCCTCAGCACTCTGATTTGCTGGATACTTGGATAAAATTAGCTACATCTGCACAAAAGTAGCAGCCACGTTTTTAGAGCTGTTGATGTACAAGTGCATTTGAATTTAAAGCTGGATTTCTAGGTGAAAATACTTAGGTATTTTCATAGTGCCTTTGTGCCTCGCCAGGTTCTGCCTAACTTGCTTCACTTGAACGAAGTGGGTTAACATCATAATTGTGTACACATACTGTTTATTCGTTTCTGCCATGATCATCTGCTCCCATGCTTTATTCTTTCCTGCAAATGGGATAATTCTTGCACTGAGGAAGCACTATCATCAACCTGCTTACCAGGAATAAAATCACAAATAGGAGAAAATTGTTATTTGGAAAAGGAGATACATGGACATATTTAGGAGAAAAGGTCCTGTCTTAAATCAAACAGCTCTTAAAATCTGGAGAAAAGCATATAGGAATAAACTCATTTCCTGACAGAAGCACTCTTCCTGGAAAGATCCATAGCATCCTAACAGGTACAAATGATCCCTGTGACTACTGAATGACAGTTTATTGAAGATGCAAAAAGCCATCATGGACATATCTAAAACCTCTTGCATTTGCATATATATGTTTATTAATTGGTTACGTGAGTTTTAAGAAATAATTTTCTTACCTTCTGACCCTGCTATTGAGACCAGATAGAGAACCAAAGCGACAGCAACAGATCTGCCATCCATTGCTGTGCAAAGTTTTCTTGACAGATGTCCAGTTCTGGTGCTATTTCCCATCAGGTTTTATACCTGAGGTGTGCAGTCCCAGCAACCTGAGTGCTGACCAGGTGGGTGCTGCACGCACAGGTTTCCTAACACATGAGAATGTTGCATAAGAAATCCAAACCTCTGTGAAGTCTGTTCAATGGCACTTCAAAATTCCCCAACTTTTGCTGCTGTTTATTTTAAATTATTTCTTTAAATTGTGACTGTTATCCATCACTTGCTGTTTGCACTTCTTCATGGAATATTAGTTTTAATCAGCAATGCTGAGCTTGCACTTGTAAATCAATAGGGCATTACCAGATGTCCCCCTGAGCCAAAATAAAGGGACTTTTTTCCTCCTCTCTGAATATAGAATTTCTGTTCGGCTCTTTGTGTCACTTTTAAGTGCCTTGTTCAAAAACTTTCACCCAACATAATTACAGTAACTTTTCATTCCAGTATCACTATATTTTGATCTGAATCCAATGAAGTTATTTAGCCAGCATCTTACAAAGGCAAATCATACCTAATTTCTATTTTCTCTGAAAGGATTTTGTAGTTTTCAGTTTGCCTAAAGGGATTTAGATGCTTAATTCTGTACTGAAAAGCTTCTCTAGTCACTGCAGGAAATGATGCACTTAAAATGACTGAGGCATTGTCACCAAAGGCACTTAAGCTCTTCTGAAACTTTCATCTGTTCTGATTATGAAAAGAGAAAGTATCTGGCAGAAAGGGATGTAATGACACCTGGTTAAAATAAGCACTTAGGAGGTTGCTTGTTTTTCTTTCTAACCTCATGCATTTAGAATAATTGCGGGTGTTTAAAACAGCAGATAAACACATGTCATGACTTCTATCAACATGGAAGAACAGCCCATATCTGACAAAGGCAGTCCTTGAGCCAGAAGAGCCCCACTGCTTCCCTTAGCAGTCTCCAAGAACACTGAAACACATTTTTGGAAGCGTCAGGGTGGTTCTTGCCTTCCTGAGAAGAGGTGTTCCGTGACTGCACACAGAACAGAGATGTGATATGGTGTCATTTCTCCTCGGAGAAGTAGGAGTCACGTCTCTCCGATGAGCGCTGATAACCTGTGGAGGAAGAAGGTATGCAGGTGACCTGCCTGGGGTCCTGGGAGCACAGCCATTGCTGACATTTTGGATGAGAGTTTCTGAGAAGAGCCCTTCTTTGGCCATGGTTCAGCTCCCAGTAACTTGACTGGGATTTTGCTGGTGGCAAAGGCTGGATGTATTGTATCTGTTGGGCACTGAAACTGATGCCAGTCCCCCAGAATACACCCATACTTTTATGGCCATGCAGATCAAGTGGTTCTTCCCCACCTCTCCTCATTCTCAGCTGATCTTTCTGACATACTTATCTCCAAACTGGATCTCTGAGAGAAGTCAGTTTGTAAAAATCCCTCAGGAAACAGGAAGGCTTAGAGTTGTAAGACAAGTCTGAACAAAAGCTGTCCCTTGGGAAACTTTCGTTCACATTCTGAGGTCTGACAGGCTGTGCAATGCTGTGCTGTAGGACAGAGGCAGATACGGGGACAGGGAGCAAAACGTGGTGGGAATGGTTGTCCTCTTGCACAAGAGCTTACTCAAACAGTGCTAAAAACTCCCTTTATGTCTTGCACCATGAGCAAACATGAGCTGATTGTCCAGAATATGGAGTGGCTCCTTGTTGGAAAAGACCGAAGCTAAACAAATATCAAAATATTTGTTCAACTTTCCCATTTCTCAGGTGCTTGCTGCTCGTATTCCTCAAGCTCTGCCAGGGGAAGTTTAGGTTAGATGTTAGGAAGAAATTCTTTACAGAGAGGGTGATCAGGCATTGGAATGGCCTGCCCAGAGAGGTGGTGGATTCACCATCCCTGGAAGTTTTTAAAAAGAGATTGGACATGGCCCTTAGTGCCATGATATAGTAATTAGAGTTGGATCAGGGGTTGGACTTGATGATCTTGGAGGTCTTTTCCAACCCAATCTATTCTATGATTCTATGATTCTATGATTCCTATGTAAATTGTTGTGTCATAGGTAGATAGGAGGCTGTACAGTTGGAGGTCTGTTTCTTAGGATTTCCCCTGATTCTCCTCACTTGAATTAGGGAGGATGCTCAGTGACTTCCTCAATGTCTATCAGATTTCCTTGTTTCTTTAAGTTAATGAAACCCCTTGTTTATTGTCAGGTTCTCAGCTGCTATGCTGTTAGAGCACCACACTGCTATGGCCTTGCAGTTTCTGTGACTAATCAGTATTTGTTCATTACTATCTGGGAATTTTATCACCCAGATAAAACACTGCAAACACTGAGTCTGCCAAGAAAAGAGGAAGAAAGTAGACAATTTTTATAATTCCTCCGACTAAATTATCTGCACTCCCCAGAGACAACAATTTGCTGTTGTTGCAAACAACACAGACACCACAACTCAGACACCACTTACCCTTCTGGGAAGCCGTTATGTGATACAAACTGAAAGGAAATGCTTCCTCTTTTTTTCAGCTCTTTATTTCAATAAGGAAATTAATAAGACACAGTATTGAAGTGAAAACATTTCAACAAGTGTTTATTAGGTACATAAACATAAATACTCCCATAAATAAATAAATAAACATTTAAGATAAATTACATTCTTATGCAAAAGGAAATAAATATGCAAAAATAAATAGAACTATATCTATAAATAAAGTGCTTTTTTCTAGACAAGAGATGGCTTTAAAATATATGTTTATACCTTCACAACACTAATTCACTATAAATAATATCTTGAAAACGATGGCACAACACCTGATGTATCAGAATTTTGACATCCCAATTCTGCAAGCTCCCCTTTTTGGCCACTAGCCCACTGTGAGTGGCAGTGACCCAGGTACAGTTGCTGTTACCAGTCCGTGCTTTGCTAAAGAGAAGGAGTTGCTGGTCTTTTCCTAAACTGTTGGCAAAAAGGCAGGAGTCATTTAATAAAAGCTCTGCTGAGCATGCAAGCACTGCACTGTTTCATCTGTGTTTAGCAAAATGCAATCCAGAGTTGTCTCTGTACCCTTTCACAAGCCATTTTTTTTGCCTGCTTGTTCTGGTGCCAGTGGTTTCTCTCCTATGTAGAATACTGTTGTCAACTAACTACAAACCAGGAATCCATATTCTAGATGCTGTTAAAAGGGTGAATGTAGGAGGCAGGAGGAGGTGAGCTGCCAGAAGCTGGTGAGTGTCTCTCCTATTTTTGCCTTGCTGGAAGAGTTAGGATATTTTTCTTCTATGTCTTAGGACACCGTCTCAGGTTTAGTGTTTGCCCTGGAAAGAAAGAAGATGGAACAGATAAGACTTGCTGGCAATAGCTGAAATCACCACTTCATGCTTCTGTGCCCAGGCCCCTGAAAAACTGTAACTGAACCTGAGGGATGCTGGGACATCATGACCTTTTCACAAATATGCAGTAACAGTGGACTTGAGTAGTTTGATGCCTCACTTGATAAATGAAGACTGATTTTTTTCCTCCCATGTAACTAAATGCCATTAGTTTGAAAAACTGATTGTTACTTTCTACCACTGCAAGCAAGAGAAACCCAATCAGTTAATGCGTGGATTTCCTGACCAGTTTTGCTGCAGGTTCTCAAAATGCTTCTGCTTTAGGAGAGATGAAGATTGCATTCCCATGGGGTGTGTGGCCCAGTAAGGCTTCAGTAGTTAATGCTATCATTAAAGCTCAAAGCAATCACAGTGTTTGTCACAATTAGTGAACACAAACGGTAGGAACTGCCTGAGGAGACAGAGTTTTGGAGCACTTCACACCATATGTGTTTGGTAGCTCAATTAAAATACCGGTTTTCGATAAGCTGTGCTCATTGAGAAGGAATGACTCACTTGTCCAGAATTGCCTTGATGATCAACTTCACCCAGGAAGCAGTGGGCTCCAGGCACACTTCTCTGCCGTCTTTCAGGGTAGCTCTGCAACAGGAACAAAAAGGAAGGGAAAAGGGCTACTTAGTGAACTCCAGGGCAGTGTCAATTTTCTCTCATGTTCCCCTTTTAAGCTCTATCAGTTGAGGCTGTAGTCTAGTATAAAGGTGGGGTTTTTTTAAATGGTTTCATATCTTCTCATACCTACTTGTTTGATGCATTAAACTATTTGCAGTACTCTCCCTCTTTTCAAAACTGCTTCTTTTTCCTCACCAACTTGCTTTGTATTTGTACTGGTCTTTAACTGAAGGGCTAAATCTTTTCATCTTGGTTACAGTGGTTACAGTGAAAGTTCTGGACAATGACCAGATTACATGATTTGTATGCTAATGCTGTTTTTTTCATTGACTTGAGTAGAAGGGTGATCATTTTTTTGTCCTAGCCATTGAAATTGATATTTTGATCACTTACTCAGAATGGCTCTGTGCATTATCTTTTCACATGCTGGTGGAATTCAGAGTTTTAGAAAGTTATCTGCTGCCCGCTGACTGTGAATTTGCTGTTCTGTGCTCTGAGCAGCTGCGCCTGTCAGCGGTTACATCACTCAGAGAACACTTACACCATCCGGAGCACAAAATCTGTTTCCTTCATGTCAAGTAACTTAGGATTTTGCAAAAGCACTTACATGACTTCAACATTCTTGCAGTGAGGTCCGCTGGGGCTTAGGTTCACATTTTGGATGAACTTGGGATGGATGAACCTGGAATGGGTGCCTATGCACTGGCACCGGAGTTCAATGGCTGACCGTGCCAGGGCCTTACCTGGAAAACAAAAAAAGGTGGAGTGTTTCAATATTTCCGCTGGAAGCACAACACGTTCCTTTTGCTGACAGCAATTAGGAGAGTTCTTTGCTGCACTGGTCGGACGGCATAATCTCTCCCCATCAGCATTTGCTCTGGCCATCAGTCAGGAGAGCTTTAGGAGGGGGTTCCTTTACCTTGTGTTCCCAGCGCTGAGATCAGGAGCAGAGTCAGGACAGCAGCCACAGCCTTGCCTGTCATGATGTAAGAGTGTGTCTTCCTCGAGTCGCCTGGGCCGGCTTCTGTGCTGGGGTGAGCTCGGGCAGTGCCGGGGTGGTGAGTGCCTGTGCTCTGGGGCCGGCCGTGTTTA